ATATTTTTTAATCATTAATAATGTTCTCTGCCGAGTGCCAGGAAAAAAATATTCTATTTCCTGGGGATACCCCAAGTTTTTCTGTTAGGCCCAGTTTAATTCATCCTATTTTTCATGGAACTTTTTCAAGTTCCAACTTTTGTCTTATTTAGGGTGTGTTTGATGAATATTATTTTAGAAGAATGTATTTTGGAATAGTAGATTGATGGAGAATGTGTGGTTGAAAAAGAAGGAAAAGTTATTGATGTGATGGATAATATTATTTTAATGAAGAATGTGTGGTTGAAAATGAGTAGAAGAATGAGAATGAAAATTTTAATGGGTACCAAACAGGGCTTTAATAACCAAATTGTTCTTGACAAAATATTTTCCTCACAACCCCCCAACGTGACCTAGTGATGACAAAAAAATCCGTCCCACCCCGTGAAGAATTAAAAAAAAATTGTTTGTTTTGAACATTGTCTGTTTCAAGTGCTTGCTTTGAATATTGATGTAATTAGTTTGAATATTATTTGCTTTAGATTTTAAAATTTTGAATTTGTATTTTAACTGAAAATTTTTGAAAAAAAAAATGGGGCAAGAAACGATGCAGGCACGCACCGTGCCTCAGCCCCACCCTGTCTAGGGCGTTCGTTGCCATCTCTAATGTGACCCATTTTCCATGTTTTTATTGAATTGGTTTTCCCACCAATTTGGTGGGGAAAATTCTGTCTTTTTTTTTGCAATGAAACAAATTTTGTCTCCCGATTGTAAATAATTTTTTTTAATGGACAATTTTCATGAAAAATAAAATCAAACGAACACCAAAAGATTCAAAATTTCAACATTTTTCAGGTGAAAATTTATTCCAATCAGACACAATTAATTAATAATTCTCGAAAAAACAATTATAGGCAATTCAATTCCCTGTAATTCATTTTCTTTCCATTCAAATTCCACTCTTGCAATCAAACGGACCCTTAAAATTTATCACAGTAATGATAGATGCAAAACAAATTAAAAGAAAAAATGAAAAGAAAGAAGGAAAGAAAAATCAATCTTGCCCGGCAGCAGACGGCGGCGTCATGTGCGGTCCAAATCAGCAGCCATGGCAATGTTGCCCTTGTGGGCCCATCTATCTCTCCCTACTTTTGATTAGTCCATAGTTTGTTCTATTTAAATTTTACAAATACCCATTTTCCTTTTTATTTTGCATTTTAGCTTTGGTGGGGAGCCACGTTTAGCCCATGTTATAATTTTTGTAATAGTATTTTTCTAAAGATTATGTGGTTCAAAGAGAAGAATTTTTTTTTTTTAAAATTTATATGTAATATTATTTTATTGAAAATGTGTGATTAAAAAGAATAGAGAGAGAAATATATTATAAATTTAATGGAGACCAAAATGAGAAAAATTAGATTTATAATTTTTTATAGAAATTGATGAAATGTGTGTAGGTAATTGTTTCAATTGTTACTGAACTTATGTCCATGTCTTCAATTGCTTACTAAAACTTAAAATGTCTAATTGTCTACATTACCACTAAAATTTGAAAAGCGTTTTGACGTTACTCACCGGTATAATTTCCGTTTAAAACATCTAACGGAATTGATGACATGGCCAATAGATTGTACATGTGACAGCCAGTAACGTCATTAAATTTTGAGATGATCGAATTTTGGTCAATAAATTTTGAAAAATGTGATTGCTCACTAAATTTTGAAAAACGTCTTCTACTGCTCAGTGAATTTTAAAGTGATCGAATTTTGGCCACTAAACTTTAAAAAAACATTCGACTACTCACTTAACTTTGAAAAACGTCTTTTATCGCTCACTAAATTTTGAAAAAGTCTTATATTGCTCACAATGAATTTGGATTTAATTAAGATTCGTTGTTAAGTTTCGGGTTTAAAATTTGAATTTAATTTAATTTAATTCTAACATAAATTTAGTCCATGTTTGGTAGGAATTAAAATCTAGTTTTTTTATCAAATTTAAAGTCAACAATTAATTTTAACCACGTATTTATGGGACCATAACTTTTCAACAAAATTTTTCATCAACTTTGATCAAAATCTGCTAAGAATCTAATTTTAATCCAGACAAAACAGGGGATTATTGTGTATTTTGTTGTAAATTTTAAATTAAAAGTAAAATTTAATTTAGTTTTAATAATAAAATCGTTGTGTTTCATTGCAATTGGTAGTCACTGCCTTTGCACAACTTTGCTAACATTGTTTATCATAATATTTGAATTTTGAAATTAAAAATACAATAAATTTGTTATTAAAATTTAAATTAAACCCGTATGTTAATATTTGAGTTTTTAAATTAAATTCAAAATTTAAAAACTAATTTTAATTAAATTCAAATGTATCGTGAGAAATATAAGACATTTTTCAAAGTTTGGCGGTCAAAATTCGACCACCTCAAAGTTCAGAAAATAATAGAAGTCGTTTTTCAAAATTAAGTGAGCAATCAAAGACATTTTCCAAAGTTTAGTAGTCAAAATTCGATCATCTCAAAGTTTAAAGACGTGATGTTTACATTCTGTTAGCCATGTCACCAATCAGTTAGAGATTTTAAATAGAAGTTATACTAATAAGTAATGTCCAACGTTTTCTAGGGTGTTTGACACCCATTTTTTCGAGATTCTAATTTTTTGAATAGCAATTGATGAGAGAATGTGCGGTGGAAAAGTTATGAAAAGTTTTAGATTTGTGTGTAATATTATTTTATTGAGAAAGAGAAAGTGCGTGGTTCAAATGAAGGAAAAAAAATGAAAATGAGAATGAGATGAAAACGAATGCCAAACAGGGGCTAAAATTCAATGACCGAAACACGACATTTTAAATTTCAATAAGCGATTGAAAATGTAGACATGAATTCAATGACCACTGAAACAATTAATTCAAAATGTGTGTTTGAAAAATTATGAGATCCATACAATATATGATTTAAATAAGAGGGAATTGCAAAAAATATCCACTTTTACATAATCATTTGTAAAAATGTCTAAAATTTCTTCAACGTACATTTTACTATGAGCCTGTTTGGTAGGGATTTTTGGGGGAAGAATTGATTTTGAATAGTGATATGATGGGAAATGTGTGGTTGAAAAAGAAGAAAAAAGTATTGATGTGATGGAAAATATTATTTTATTGAAAAATGTGTGGTTGAAAATGAGAATTGATTTGATAATTGATTTGAGAATCAGAAACAAACAAGGCCTATAATTTAGACCAAAATGTCATCATTAGCAATTTTAAATCAATCATGCTACATGTACACTTCATTTGGCATCAAGTTTGACATTGTACCACGCGTTGTGACATGGTTGACAGTTTTAAAACAAAATACATTTTCCCGTCCATTTGCATTTGAAAATACATGAAGTGTCAAACTCCATGTCAACCAAATTAATGTACAAGAAGATTTATTTATTTTCAATTCCACGATGAGAACAAAATTATTTGTATAGTTAAAAATTGTATCGACCAATAATAACTTGACACATAATCTATACTACTTATTTTAAAAAGTATCATGTCAAATATGCATTAAATGCTCACTTCCCCCTATAAGAGGGTAAGTAAAACATTAATGAAAATATCAAGAACATTATGAAATGTAGAGAACTCTCATATTTAGAACGAAATCTCAATTTAGACAAATGAAGTGTCGAGAGAAATATGGTCCAAATGTTGTAACAAATTTTAAAATGTCGAAAACGTGAATGACAAGAATAACAACTATTAAACTCAACGTTTAAACAAAAATAAGATTTCAAAGAAAAATTATCTTCACAGAGAATTGTGGCCTAATCAACTCGTAAATTTGGACTAGATTAAATTTTTCAAAATGACGTTATATGATTTTCTTATGAATTGGAAGCATATATTTATTTTCAAGTGTTAATAGTTATTTCTTCATCTTCTTAATTTTTGAATCATGCTACATGTACAATATTGGTTGACAATATTTGATGACAACATCCTATTTGGTATCATCATATCCGTCTATTTTAAAAACTGTTTTTTACATTACATTGTGTATGATTTTGACAACGCATGGTTGTCAACCAATGTACACTTAGATTTATTTCTAATGTAATTTTTCATGAAAGTTACTTGTTCTTCTCGAAATTCAGGACAAAATGAAAAAATAAATAAATAAATAAAATTGCTTCATTTTTCATTAAGGATATAATAAATAATTTGGTACCAAATTTGACAATTTTTATTAGAATTATCAAAATGGGACACTTTTCAATTGAAAAGCATGAAATTGACAATTTTTGTAAATTCCCCTTTAAAGAATTGACATAAATTAAAATCTAGATTTTAGCTTGACTCTTGTTTGGTATTGATTAAAATTAGATTTTAATTTTAGTCAAAATTAAACAATAAATATTAATCTCATATTTCATTCGTCCCACGACTTTTCAATCATATATTCAATCATTTTTTATCAAAATCTACTAAAAATTTAATTTTAATATACACGGGACTTAATTCATATTCATATCCATCACTTTATTAATGTCTTCCATATAAAATTGAATAGTTAAACAAACAGTAATAATTTTACATATATAAATCTCCAGCTCTAACCAAAATCTAGGGTTTCCATTTTCTTAAATTCGCCTCCAAAGTTCTTAAGGCTAATTCGTGAAGTTCGAGGTACGGTGTATTAATTTCTACTTAGTGAATTAAGTTCCTGTAAGAATTTCCAATCGTATATTTTGTTTTTTCCGCTTTATACTTTATTTCTTCTGATTTCTGCTCAAATTGGATTCAATTGAGTTCTCGGGGAAATAATTGGAATTTAATCCCTTTGGGAAGTGGATATGTATCTGGACAATTTTTTATGGATGGTATAGTCCCATGAGCTGGAAAGATAGTTTATTATTCTCGATCTTGATCCGATAGTTTATTATTCTCGATCTTGATCCGAGTTTATGTTTTTGTGGGATATTTTTAAGTTTGAAGTAGACGAAAGTTCCTAAAATTCTTGTGTAAATGGATGTGGAAAGTGAGTGTTCCGTGCGTGAGTCTGTGGAAGATAATGAGGTAACTAGGACTATTTCTGCCATGGAAAAAGTGGGTAATGCTGTAGATGACACCAAGGTGTATAACAACGGGTCTTGTGTGGTGGAAAACAATGATGATATTTTCGAGGGGGTGGAGGAAAAGGGAATTGAAGTTATTTCACCTCCCCTTGAGGTGACATCACAAATGCCTCCATCGCCTGTGATGATAAAGGGGAATGGGTTGAGGAAATGGAGAAGGATCAAGAGGGACACCAACAAGGGAGGGGATAATATTTTTGAAACAGGCAAGATATTGATAGAGAGTTTGTCTAATCCAGGTCCAAATTCAAGTAAACGGATGCAATTTTCTGAGGAGATGAAGCAAAAGAATGAGGGGTCTGTTTCATCCACTAATGCAGTGGAGAGGAATCTGAATGGTTTCGTTATACTTGATGATTCTGGGTTGGTGATTGGACCTACCCTTTTTACTGGAATGGATTCAGAGAACAGTGGGGATTTGAGTAGCAAGTCATCCACAGCAGCCAGTGCTCCAAACTCAAGGAATCAGATGTCCAAGGTTGCAGGACTTCCACAAGATAAAATCAGGATGAAGAGTCTGAGTGGGAAGAATTTGAGTAACTCTGTGCAGCGTGAACAGCAGAGAAAGGGTCATATTGACACCAGTAAGAAGGCTAGAGGGAACAGGGCCAAAATCAAGAAAGAAAACGCCCGTTCGAGTGTGGAGTCTGACTCACGAAGCTCCAACTTTGCTTTCATACAGGGACGTTACTCTGTGATGAGCAATGGGATGCAAAATGGAAGTTCAATTAATTATGATGGGCAAAATGGCGATGATTTGTCGTTTGTGGTTAAAGAAGAAAGAAGGGAGAACCCTGATTCTGCAGCTGATCACGATCCCCTGGTTGAATCTATCATTGCGCTTCAGTCTGCACAAGAAGCACTGGAAAAAGGTCTGTCCATCTGACCTTTCCCCATTTGACAATAAATTGAGTGCAAAATTATTTTTGTTTTTTCTTACATATTACTAAACTTTATTCTGTGCACAAGTGCAATAACTTTCCATGCATTTTATTTGTGGTTTAGTAAACTTGATGTTGGCTTTAAATATCCCCCCCCAAAAAAAAAAAAACTAAGGGCTTAGAGAGTCATAATAGTGTTATTTGTTTCATCGAGGAAAAACTATTTACAAAATTTTGAAACCTGTAGAGGGATGTGAACTTGTGAGCATTCTAGGTTTTGTGGATATTAAAAAGGGAGGTATTGTATTTTTCTTTTATATAATAATCAGAAGGTTAGAAATTCAAACGTTTGAATATTTTTGGTGTCAAATGTTCTTGGTACATTTGTGAGATCAAACTAACCCGTGTCGTTGTAATGTTATCTCCTAATAGTTTGCTGAAAACGGCATTTTGAGGGATTTTTTTTTTCAATCTGTTCTGAGTACAGAATCTTGTATAAGCTCCTGTTTTTCCATTATATTTAATTTAACACCGTACTCTATGATGTGAATGTAGGTTCAGTATTGATGTTCTTTGTCTATGTATTTCAAGTGGAAGGACATATATTACTTTAGTATTCCGCTTGTTTGCCATCGTTGTTTCCTTATTTTTTGCAATTGAACAAAATGTGTAGTTGTTCAAGCTCCAACTAAAGGGTTCTAAATTGTTCATTGCACGTGTAACTTTTGCAGGGGAGATAAAATGTATTGTTCTTGTAGCTACTGTTCTATTCATCTTATGTAGATCAGCAAAGATCCTTTGCCTATTTCACAAAATTGTTTGTTATCTTTGTTTTCATGGGCTTTATTTCTTTAACTAAATGGGTTTATATATATTTGCAGAGGTTCAAAAATTTAGAGAAATTGGAAAGGAAGATGTTCAGGCGAATGATTCAATTCAAGACTTCCCTTCAGAGTGTACTTCCATTGATCCAAAACTCTATCAAGCAAACTCCACCGAACAGTTACAATCTAGCTTCCATGCGCTCAACTCTAAGGGAAGTGAGCCAAATACAATTATAAATAGCAGGTCACTAGAAGAATCAGTGGAGAAAAGAGATGTAGAAGCAGAACTTGAGGACCTCTTTAAGCGAAAGATTGAAGCTGAAGTTGAATATTTTATAATATCAAGAATGATCCAAAAATTGAATGTTGTAGTGGATGGACAGTCTGTTTTAGAAAAGCCGAAAACTCTGGCTTCAGAGCAAGCCCAGATGCTGAACAGGCTTGAAGATGCAGAAAACAAGGCTACAACTCTCAGTAAAGAAGCTGAGGATTTGGAGAATTATTGCGAAGATATTGTAGGTGCTGATGAGTCGATGAAGCTACATAAGAGGATGTGCAAGTACACTGCATGTTTCTTCGTGCAGTTGGTAATATTGATAATTGTCATGGGACTCTTTATTTTGCAGATATCACCAAATTTTACTGGGATCGTTCCCACTTAGTTCTAAAAAGAGCCTTTATTTCTCCTTTGTCATCACAATCTGGATTCTAGCCTGAATCCAAATCCACTTTGCGACTATTCAAAGTCGACTAGCACTTAATGTACGGGCTAGGCTCAGATATTTAAACTAAACAAAGATGACTGCAGCAAGGGCAATCCAGGATGTGGCTCTGGTGGTGGAGTGTCAAGAGATTATGAAGGTGAAGTTATGTTTGCGTTTTTGAATCATATGGTCATTGTTCCAACTTAGAGGCTTTACAAATGTTTGTGTGGAATTGGGTTCTGCACTTGCAACACTGTCTGTCACTAATGAGAATTGGGCCGTGGAGCTCATAATACTTCATTCGGGAAATTAAAAGCTTTTTGTAATTAATTTCTCACATATTATACATGTACAATTTTGCAAAGCTTCGGATTGAGTAAAAAGGTCTAGAACTAAAATTAGAGGTGCTGTTTATTCAGTTTAATAAATGATTTTGAGCTTATATTTATGTAATGGAGGTGTTCACTTTTTAATTCTCTCAGTCTTCTCCATATATAATTCTCGAAGTTAAGTCTTAGTCCCTTATCTCCTGTACTTATATTGTGGATCAGTCACCATCTCACCCTAGGTGAAAACAAGTACTTCATTACGCCAGATATTTACTCTCATCGTCTCGTTTATTACTTTCCAATTTCCATACATGGATTCTGCATTATAAAAGAAATTTATCTAACTGGTTTGTGTATTCATCTGCTAATTTTTACTGGAATGTCTTAAAGTTTCATTTTATGCTGCAGTTCAAGTAAAGAGTTGGGATAATTTATTGCTACTGGTACTCTATGTTATGATAGCGGTAACCAAATTATTTGTAGAAAATAATGTGTGGGTGGCAGTTCTCTGCTCCCACATTCATTTCACTTGGGCTATGTTTGATAGCTCTTTTTTTCCATTGTTTTCCATTTTCCATGGAAATGGTTGTTTGATGGATTTTGTTTGTCATGGAAAACTAATTCCACCCACCCATGCACCAATTGAAGGAAATTTAGGTGAGAATTTTTATTTTTTATTTTTTTGTGGCAATAGACACAAATTTTATCACCAATTGTATTTATTTTTTCCTTTTAATGGACAATTTTCATTAAAAAAAAAAAGTCAAACGAACACCAAAAGATTCAAAATTTAAATATTTTTCACGTGGACAATTATATCAATCAAACATAATTAATTGACAATTTTCAAGAAAACAATTCTAAGCAATTCAGTTTCATAGAATTTATTTTCTTTCCACCCAAATTTCACTTTTACAATCAAACAGATTCTTACCGTTAAATACATGAGCAAGCAGATGAATCACTAACTACAACTGGAGCTTTTGTCAGACTAATTTCACCGAGCATAATAAATTTGCTTATAAGTTAATAATTCTTTTGTTTATAGTATATGAGGAAATACTAGCAGCTCGGCCCATGGTTAACTTGTTCGACTGCTATTTTAGCTTATGGGCGATAGTTTCTTTGGGTGCATCTCCGTCTCATGGTACCTTAATATAAAATTTGTTATGGGAGGAAGAGTTCCACTTTAGTTTGTACGTTAAAACTGAAAATAATGTTATTTATCATCATGATACCGATATGGTAATTCATTATTTATTATATTTCTCTCTCTCTCATAAAAAAATTGAACGACTCAATCTCATTATTCCACATAAACTACCACATCACTTATGTTCAATTATCGTGATAAATAACATTATTCAAATACTAAAGAGTAGAATTTTTTTTCACGTGGAAGAGTACCACTTTAGTAGATTTGCTTAGTCTTTGGTATTGACTTTCACTACGTTTTTATTTATCATTATTGTTGGTTCTCTATGAAGTTGTGCAACCTTTCATGTTCTTGATGGGAGGATTGACTTTTGTCTCGTGCTATGAAAATCTCGACATGCTTGACTACAAAAAAATTGAGGGTCGACCCAAAAATTGTTCTGATTATACCTAAAAGCCGCGTAATAAAAGGATGGACATCGTTAACGTACGAGTCTTACGTTGTACCCTAACAATTAATTACAATATAACCATTTCGCGTGAAAAGAAGCATGCATTGATGTAGTGATTGCTTTTTTAAGGTAATGAATAAATTGCATTAAAAGGAAATTAATTGAACAGATAAAATTTTTACGTAAATTGTGAGGTTGACCAATGACCAGCCCAAAGAATTCTCTTTTCCCATTTGCACACCTAATTACGATACTGAAAATCTGTCAATTTTTTTTCTAATTTTGATGTGGAAAAAGATAGGTTTTTCCCCGCATGGGATAAAGATAAAGAAAACTACTTCCGGTAATTCAAATATTCGTGGTGTTCTACTTGCATCAAACTTCTCATCTTAATCTCATAGAATTTGATAGTAATCTTACTACATCTTCAAAACCTTAACTAATGCTAAATTACGGTAAGAGATTTTTGGTAATTCCCTAAAACCTGGTTTAGATGGAAAAAAGTAGAAGAACGTGACAGTCAATTTCCATAGTCAAGAACCGACTCTTCAAATTCTTTTCATTTCACACTTGTTTTCTTCATCCAGGATGTCATTATTACCTCTTTTTTCTTCATTTTCATCACTGATCTAAATGATATGTATATAACATACAAAATCACACAGTTTCTATGTTTTTCTGCTGTTGTTTCTAATTGATTTTATGTTTTCTTTTCAGCTAAGCAAACATCAATACTTTGCTCCAAAAGATCTTTTTATTCTGGTCAGTGCTTTTTTTCTTTGAGTCTTGTTTAGGGTTATTTCTCCATTTTAATTAGTATATATCTTCCAGGAAGTTTGTCTTTTTAAGGGTTTCTGGGCCATTATGTAACTATCCATCTTTTAAGATTTTTCTTGTGGAAAATCTCAGCTCTCACTTTCTTTCAACCACTCTTTGAGATCATTTTTGACCCTTTTTCTCTTTGTATACATAATACATATATATATATATATATGCACACACACTTAAGCTATGGTTGTTCTTGTGAAGAAGATTTTGAGTCACATCAGTTAATGAAAATCTTAGGTTTGTGAACCTGTTTCGGGGTAGAAGAAGCTGTGGATAGATAAATTAAGTGTTCCTCCGCAAGGTTCATCCACCAAGGGTGAGTCAGAGCTGAAACTCGGCATGGAGGAAGATGATCAAACTATTGTAATTCAAGAGAAGGATAAGATGTACAGTAAGTTTTGCCCAGTTTGCAATAAAGGATTTAATTCAGGTAAAGCTGTGGGAGGTCACATGAGAATTCACGTTCTGGCCAAGAAAAAAGTAAATCAACCCATAAAGTCCAAGAAACGTCTGCGAGAAGATGAAGAAATTAGTGAATCTGATTATGTGAAAAAGACGCATTATAACAAGAAACTGAGTTGTTTAATTTGTGGGAAGAATTTTTTATCGATGAAGTCACTGTGTGGGCACATGAGGTGCCATCCAGAGAGGAATTGGAGGGGAATTCAACCACCTACAATAGCGAAAAAGAGTTCTTGGTCGAAGATTGAACCTCAAAATGTCGATAATCAAATTGATTCACTGACTGATGCTGATGGAAATCAAACAGTTGCTTCAACCGAGTCTTTTCCTGGTTTGTCAGTGACTGCAAAGAGAGGCATGAGCCCTACATCGAAGTTTTCAGGCTCGGAGGATGATGAATTATATGATGCTGTTCTTGATCTTATGATGTTGGCTCATGGGGAATCATTTGAGAGTGGACAATTGTACAGGCAAAGAGTTGTTGAATCTGAGGTCACCAACAGCAATTCACTAACGTATAAGAGTGAAATTGGGGATACTAACAAGGTTTCTGAATCAAAAATTTCAAATGAGGAAAGCGGCTCTACTAATCTTGAAGGTTTGAAGAGCAACAAAATTGGGAGTTTTCTTCGAAAATCAGTCACCAATGAAGAACATGAGCGCACTAATGCAAAAAAGACGATCAAGAACGAAACAAGAAAGAAAAAGGTGAGATTGAGTGATCTTGAATCCAAGAAGTATGCTGGTCCCATGACAACGAAGGCTCCTCACGTTAAGTACAGGTGCATTACATGCGGCAAGTGCTTCGAAACTCGCCAAGCACTAGGGCGTCATAGGGCTAACCACAACAAATACAAGACTGCTATTTACAACTCCACAGATCAATCTTCATTTGCAGCTTCAGAAGATGATATACTTTCGACTGGCATTGTTCAAGTAGACCACGAAAGCCCAGAAATTGCACATAAATGTCGTAAAATTCTGGATTTCGATCTGAATGAGGTGCCTCCATTGGAGAATGAAGCTGGTATTGAGTCTGATCTTGCAGCTAATTTTGACTATGGCTCTTCATCTTAGAACTCTTTTGTTCGGTCAGTTGAATTTAAAGTAGTTTCAGCTCGTAAGCTAATTTCGACTTTAGAATTATGATTTTAGGTTTTTCAAATTCGACATCTTAATTTCATTATCTGGGATTTGGTACAAATTGATGTTTTAATTCTTCAGTTCTTAATTGTCGAGTCTTCATGAACTTGTCATCGTTATTTCAAGAGAAACTCGACGCTTCAACAACTTTTTTTTTGAAGAAAATGTGTACAATTCATGATTACGCAAGCAACTTCCTATCTGTTGACGAATACAGTATTAGATGACGCTACTTAACAATTTTTCTATAATATTAGCAAGCCCAATTCGTCGCACCAAAGATGCCATTTGTTCATAGATTACGTCGATTTACCTTTGTCAAACGTGTGGTTTGTGGATTGCACTTTGGTTTGAATAAGCAATAAAAATATCAGAATGGTTTCTGACTATTGTGTGTTTGAATCAAGTAAACATCATAAACGAGTAGTGGAGGTCCAAATTGGAGATTTGTTATCTAGCAAAGAAAGAATTGACAGAGATAGGAAAAAGTCAAGATATCTAATGAGCAACTGTTTTAAAATTTAATTTCGGGGATTAAAATTAGATTTTTTGTAAATTTTGATAAAGATTGATGAAATATGTAGTTAAAAAATTGTGGGACTTACAAAATATGTGGTTAAAATTAATTGTTAACATTGACTTAGATTAAAATTTGAATTTTAAGTGCTACCAAACATGGGCAATTTGCAAGGACGTGAAGGAGTTAGGCATCTATTCAACAAATCCGGATACATGGTCGAACAACTTGTTTGATATTAACTTTATAATTGATCAAATTTTCATGAGAGCTATAATTTTATTAACTTTTCATTGACACAAAACAAAAATAATTAGTTATCAAAGTTGTGCTTAAATTTTGAAACAATTGAAATTAAAATTTTATGCACTCTTTTATATCCCTAAAATAAAAAGGAAAAAACACATCGGAAACAAAAAGGATCGGTACCAGAAAATTCTCGAAAAACTTAAAGGTTTAGCAAGAAAAAATCTGGGTTTCTGCAAATGGCTGAAGTAGGCTGTTGTTGAGTGGTCTAAGACCTAGGAAATGTTGGCCGCAGATGAGCAAGTCACGGAGGTGGAGGAGGTATTGGGCATTTTTAGAATATATATGTTTTACGATTCATAAGTATCACCTCCGGATCCGTGGCGCAATGGTAGCGCGTCTGACTCCAGATCAGAAGGTTGCGTGTTCGATTCACGTCGGGTTCAAACCCCCCGATCCATACGGATTCAATTTTTTAGGTTTTTTTTCCCTTCCTCATGGCAAGTCCAATAATTCTTTATTATGATTTTGGTGGAAAAAAAAAAAATCAGTTACATTCAGTAGAAAGTGAAGTTTCGAAAATTGGAATTCTGTGTGAGGTGTACCCGTGTCAGATTTCCTCAATTAGGACATCAATCTCGCTTAGTCATGAATTTATACAACCAGGAATCACAATTTCTTTTCTACAGATATAGGGTTTCATAAGTGGCTGGTTCTGTAAATTTGAAGGTATATGCAGAATTATGATAAGAATTGTAAATAATAACAAGAGTAAATGCAGTATGGTGAACCACTTCTCCATACATATGGATTTTGCCCATAAGTTGCACCAAGTTGGGTTATATGGCTTAAGTTTGAGTTTCTCTATTTAGGGCCCATTCGAGCGAACTTCTACTTTTGCTTCTTTTATTAGAGTTTCATAAAACAACTACCTTAATAGACGTTTGGAAACTAATTCTTTTAATCAGAATAAATATTTTCATAAAATTAACCAAACAACTTTTGAATATCAAAAGTTTCTTTTGACTTTTCAAAATTCATGCCAAAGTGGCGCTTATTATATGATATCAAGATCATCAGTTTGATTGCTATGTCCAATATTCAAATTCGTAAAACTACTTACTGTTTTAGAGAAGATAATTTCAACAAATAGGGTTGCATCCATGATCCACCTTTAGCTCTTAGAAAAGTGGGATGCAGAAGGCTATTCTTTTACTGCAAAACATTAGTCAATAATCCTAAATTCAGTTGGAGAGGCTCATATACATCTTATATTATACACTGCAGTACATGAAATAGTAGACAGCAAAGTGAAAAAAGCTGCCACCCGTTTTCATTTTCTATACTGTGCTACACAAGGCATTATAGGCATGCAAATGAGAAAATGCTGCAGCCCGGTGTTACTTGTAGGCCAAAGTTCCCGGTTCCACCTAGGAGATTGTTGACGCGTGAGAGCAAGAGGAAAGGAAAAAGAGATGGCCACAAGAAGTTTGGAAAATGCTAAATGTACGTTTTGCTTTACAATATGGTTGACATCCCTCTTTTCTGACACAATCTGGGCAATGATGTGAAAAGGTGTTAAGGAAATCAAAGGAGATGACGGTGCCCATGTGGAAGAATGCATATGATGATGTAAACCATAATGTACTCATAGCATGATTGAAGAAGTTTTCCCCCGTGTAGCATCTCCAGCAATCACCCCAAAACGGCTTATGTTTCACTGAGCTGTTGCAATGTCTTCCAATCTCTGCTTTCCAAACTTACCAGAACAACCTTCTTCGCTGTAAAAAGAAATACCGCCAATTGGAACCCTTGAAATATATCATCTATTAAAAGAATCGCAATGGGAAAAAGAGTTGCTTGAATAAAGAAATAACTGGAATCCGAATTCCAAGGGGACTGGAAAGAGGAATAACCCAGAGAAACGAGTTTGCATTTGCTAGGTAAAATTACTTACACGAAATCTGGACTCCTTCATATTCTCCATCAACTCTCCAATCTCTAGCTGCTTCATCAGAGTAGCATGTATTTCCTGCAATAAAATACAAGGGATCAATTATGCACGCTCAAACTTTCAACAAGATAAATATACGGGATACTTACCCTCTTTGTTTTCTCAAGGTCAAGCTCTAAGGCCTTGATCCTGTCCATAGATTGCTTAAGCATTTGATCCTTCTCTAATGGAATTTCAGCAGGCTTCTTGTTTAGTCCTTCCAACAAAATTTCCAATCTCTGGAGACGCTGCAGACAACGTTGAAGGACCTGGTCTTCACAAACAGCTTCAGCACTGGCTGGTGGATGACTGTTTAGTTTTGGTTCACCTTCCAATGCGTTAGATGGATAAGCATTCGTCTGTCTTTTCCAGTATTCAAAAGGCACATTACGGATTAAGGCAAAATGTTTGACCATGAAAGATATCAATGTTCTTGCCACTAATGAGAAATTAATTTTCTCCTGGATAGTGTCAAACCAATTGGTAAACAGAGTACCTAAAAGATATACAAGGTATGAGTCACAAGAATGGAGAATATTCCATAGATTCTACTTAGAATGTTGACGAAATCGGAACCATACTTAAGCCTAGACGTTAACTGACATAAAGAAATGCTTTTTATGGCTTTTGAATGTGATGCCTCCAGGGAATGAGAGAGAGAGAGGTAAAAAAAGGAGAAACAAGATGCCGAAATTGTAAGTCAAATTTAATAATATGACCAACCCAGAAAGTGTGTGTTTTTGGGGCAGTTATAATGACTTCTCTCAAAGGAGAAAATCAAGAGGCGTGGATAAAATACTATAACTGGAAACTTTTTGTAGAATGCCTATATTTATACCATAATTACATGTAAAATGTTGATTCCAATAAGAATTACAGAAACCTGAGCTATGCCATTACAAATAAAATATCTGAAGGCTCATTCCACAAGATTCAATCTTGCAGTCATTTCTATCTCAAAATCATTCAATTAAATTTAATGCATCAGACATTACATTCCTGTTAAGAGAACACCAATAATGCCTGCTTTGATTGATGGGGGGCAAAATGCATGACCCCATCCTTTGATTGTAAAGAGAAACACATACCTTCTAAATTCTGTCTTTCATCACCATTCAAATTCCTTGAGTTGTCTATAATACAAGACTGACGCTGAAAATTTTCCATTCCTTGATCATAATCATTATCTTTATCAACTGGAGTAAAATGATCGTTGCAATTGTAGTAGATACTAGTATCTGGTATTTGGGCCTGCATCAATTGAATTTTCACAAATCATGCACAAGAAAGCATGAATGCACCAGTGCTAGCTCACTATGAAGAACTATCCATGAACAGACCCATATAGGCGATCAAGTTAGAGTATGCATGCTTGTTTCAGCCGATAGGGAGATGCAAGGCATATCAATATAACATATCTAGCATAGTAGGATCAAAATTATCATTCTTAAAAATTGAGAACTGCTAATCGAACTTACTTTGTCAAGAACAGGAGCCAATAGTGTAGACCTAGAGATATTTCTTCTAGTCGGAGAGCAAGAATCGTCCTCTGACTCCGACTCAACCGTCAACAAATCACTTGTTTTCCCCTGATAGTATGATACAGAAAAAAAAATGTTAGATTTACAGATAACAAAAATTCAATGTATATAAAAACCTAAAATTACTACCTTAAGTGGATGCAACTGAATATGAGAGTCAATTTTCTGATGGTCATTGGCTGTTATGGTTATCTGTTTCACGAGAGTTGTTTCTGCATTATACACAATCTACAAATTGAGAGAAATTTTATACTTCTGTCACAATGGAGTTACATAATGAAGAAATTAGAAATAGATGAGCCACTCTCAGAAACATCAAACATGTGTACCTTCATTATTTTAGGATCATTCCATGGACCCTGATTGGACGTTAGGCAACCGCCATCAACAGAACAAGTGCACGATCCACCTAAGAAGTCGGGCAATTGACTACAGGTAGAACAACCTAGCATTAGATCTTGGTATGCTCAAAAATCACATTAAAACAAAAAAAAAATGGAAAAACAAACAACCTTGGATCGATGAATTCCAGTAGTTTCCCCATGGACTTGGGGTCCAAAACCTGCGAAAACAGAACACAAATATGCAATCAATTAAATGCAGTTAATATAGCAAGGAATATGATAAGAGTTAATTA